TGACATATCTGAGTTCTCTTCTCTGTCAGGTCTCCTGTCTCAGGAGCAGCTTGTGGGAGAGGAGTCAGTCTTGTACTCTGTGACCTGGGATAGGTTTCATGTGGGGCCCTGTAATAGCCAAACCAGTTTGCCTTTTTCCAGATGCTTAATCTTTTTGAACCTGGTTGACTCATGTGTTGACTCATGATTTTTCTTCTGTGTGTGTGTCTGTGCGTGTGTGTGTGTGTACATGCCTCTATGTGTGTCTGTCTCTGTGTACCTGTGTGTGTATGTGTGTGCCGGTGTGTACGTGCATGCGTGCGTGCGTGTGTAGCCCAGAAGTCTACTTCAGGCGTTTCTCTGCTGTTCATCTTATTTTATGGGACAGGGTCTCTTCTTGAAGTGGAGCTCACTGCTTGTCTGGACTGGCTGGCCCGCAAGCCCCTGGGCTCCTTCTGTCTCTGCCTCCCACAGAGGGATTGCAGGCATGTGCTACCGTGTCCAGCTTTTCAAGAGTCCTGGGGATGTGAATTCAGGTCCTCACTCTTAACCCTGTTAGCACTTTACCCACAGAGCCATCTCCCAGTCCTGCCTCTGGCTTTTCTAGCTAAAAACCCTCCTGCCAGGGGCTGGAAAAATGGCTCAGCAGTTAAGAGCACTGGCATGCAGAGGATCCGGGTTCGATTCCCAGCACTCACATGGTGGCTACCACCAGCGTCTTCCATAACTCCCAATTCCAGGGGATCCATAGAGGCCCCCTCTTGGCCTCTGTGGGCAGTGCATGCATGGATACACTTTACATACGTATGGGCAAAACACTAATACACATACAAAGAATAAATAAAATAAAATAAAAAATCCTCCTGCCAGAAACTGCCATCACCTTGCCACTGGCTAAAATCTCCAACCCCAGGAAGCTGAAGTAGAAAGATTGCTGAATTCGAGGCCAGCTGGGCTACACAGCAAGTGCTTGGCCAGTTAGACATACGTAGCAAGACTCTGTCTCAAAAAAAGGGGGGGGGGCTCACGTTATTTGTGACGTGAGTGAGTGTGTTCGTATGCATGTCTGAGCGTGTCTGTGTAGTTGGGGTGGGGCTGAACCCAGGACCTTCTCCATGCGACACAAATGTTCTACCACTGAGCCTACATTACAGTGCCTGCAGAACACAGCTTGAGTCCATCCAACCAGTAGGCTCACCATCGTGGAATCATTCTTCATACTATTCATTCTCAGCTCCCCAGGTTGGCTCGGTTGAAGCTTTCCCTGGTTAATATGTATCCGGGGCTGTGATGTGAGGGTTAGCACTCTTGTGAAAGGAAAGGAAGTCTGGGCTGGGAGATGCAGCCTGTCATCACAGGAAGTTCCGCACCACTAACTGGGGATGGGTCAGGGTGTTGTTGGCCCTAGTGGGGGCCAAGCCCAGGCAAAACAGTGTATGTGGGCCAGATTTTGATAGATAATGAAGTAAGCAGAGCCCAAAATGGCAGGTGTTTCCTAAACTCAAAAGTAGTGCTTTGCTGGACGTGGTGGCAATTGCCTTTAATCCTAGCACTCAGGAGGCAGAGGCAGGCACCGATCTCTGTGAGACTGAGGCCAGCCTAGCCTACATAGTGATTTCCAGGTCACCTGAGGTTACAGGGAGACCCTGTCTCAAAAAGACAAAAAAAAAAAAGGTAGTGCTTCTAGGGACAGGAGGGAAAAGACCAGCACATGCCTTCAGTCCCAGCACTTGGGAGGCTGAGGCAGGAGGCTCATGAATTTTGAGGGCAGCCTGGGCTATATAATGAAGTCCAGACCAGGCTGGACTATATAACATGGTAAGTCTTTGAAAAAAAAAAAAAAAAAAGACAAACCCCCATGATTATAGATATAAACCACCATGTCCAGCTCACAGGGGGTTATTCTTTTTTATTTATTTTGAGATGGGTCTTACTATATAGCCCTGACTAGGCTGGAACTCAATATGTAGACCAGGCTGGCCTTTAACTCACAAAGCTCCACCTGCTTCTGTTCCTTAAGTGCTAAGATTAAAGGTGCTAATTGGTGGTTGAACCCCCACCTTCAAGACCTAAAAACCACATCAATGACCAGCACAGCAAAGGACATTGGTGTAGTACTGGCACTTTTATCTTGGGGGTAATCAATAGCTACCTAACTGGACTTAAAGCCCACTCAATGGGGGGAAACTTGTACTATAACCTATAAACTCATACTATAAACCTAGCTGTGCTGGATGGCTTTAGTGTCAACTTGACACACCTGGGTTGAGGGAGCCTCAATCAGGGAATTGCCTCTTGGACTGGCCTGTGGCCATGTCTGAGGGGCATCTTCTTGATGAGTGATGTGGGAGGGCCCAGCCCACTGTGGGTGGTGCCACCCCTGGGCAGGTGGGCCTGTGTTGCATAAGAAAGCAGGCTGAGCAGGGGCCAGGGGAGCAAGCCAGTAAGCAGCGTTCCTCCATGGCCTGTGCTCCAGTGTCTGCCTCCAGGTTCCTGCCTTGGGCTCCCTGAGGAACTGCGACCTGGGAGTTGTAACCTAAATAAACCCTTTCCTCCCCAAGTTGGTAGTGGTCAGAGTGTTTTTTCACAGCAATGGAGAAACAAACTAGGACACTAGCTAAATACATGTATCTGGAAAGGCCATAGATCTTAGAGAAAACTCCAAGGCTGTCACATCCCTAGACAAATGTAATATGGATCCTTAAATCTACAGACAAATATCCCAGTCACCACCCATCAAAGACACTTCTTTTTCAAGAGACAGAGATAATTGCAGAGTTCCACAACTGGGAACACAACAGAGATTGTGTGTGAATTGCCCAAGCCTAAGTGGCACATCTAGGATGCAACCTCTACACCTAAGGCTCAAGGAACACAGAACAGGGGTGAGGAGGACACTAATGCGTCTTTCAGTTCTCATCAATGAAGCTCCCTCATGCAACAGATGCCAGGAACGCAAAAGATCGCAGATGGCCAAAACGCATAGGAGTCTACAGAGTGTGGGTCTTTGGACAGGACTCCTGTATTAAAATCTACCCACCCAGGGCTCAGGGATCATTGTGGAAGAGGGGGTGGAAAATTTTGAGTTAGGGAGGAGGTTTGTGTCTGGCTCCTGGGACTCTTCTCATACAAACCTTCAGCAATGGTGTCAGCATGCACAAGACCCTTGCAAACTTAAGCAGACAAAAACCCAGCACAGAACTGGAAATGAACAGCAGGCCCCAATCTTAGTCTCAGCCGATTACTGCTGGGTGAGAATAAGCTGATCATCTTAAAGGGAGGGACTCTAGATCGGCTGACTAAAACTCCAGTGGATGAACTTGCATTGAGGGACATCTGGAGACACTAACTTTACCTTAACACAAATAACAGAAGGTATGAACCCTAGTGGTGGGGCTTTGGGAGGATGCCACAGGGGAAGGGGGTATAAAGATGATTTTCTGTATGAAATACACAAAAATTCAATAAAAAAATTTAAAAATGTACTAACCAGCTGGACATGGTGGCCCATGCCTTTAGTCCCAGCACTTGGGAGGCAAAGGCAAGCAGATCTCTGAGAAATCAAGGCCAGCCTGGTCTACATAATTGAGTTTCAGGCCAGCTGGGGCTATAGGGAGACCCTGTCTCAAAAAGACAAAAACAAAACAAAACAAAAAACCCCCCAAAAAACAGTAACCTGAAAAAAAATGAAATAAAAAAATAAAGGTGTGCACCCCAACACCTGTCAAAGATGGTTATTCTTAAACATCTGTTAAAAATTTTTAAAAGATTTTTGTATATATTTTAATGCTACATTCATAATTTTCTATTAATAAGCACTGTTTCACATTTTTGTTTATAGTGCTCATTTTAAATGATGTAGCAATTAAATAATAGTAATTATAAAGAAAAGAGACCATTTTTCTTTGTAAACTTTCTGTGATGGGCTGAACACAGGTTATCTATAGCTGTGAGAAATTCTCCCAATTTCTAGAGTAGTTTGTTTCTTTCTTCAGGCCTCTTCATGGATTAGGATAATTTCTGAAGCACTCACTCTAGAATTTAGAATCTCATCTCATTAAACGTTAAAACCAAAATGTGTTAGAGGCAGGAGAGGACTCAGTATTTAAGAGGACTTGCTCCAAAGTCATGAGGACCAGAGTTCAGATCCCAGCATCCACGAACAAGCTGGTGTCCCTGCAAACACCTGTAAGCCCAGCTCTGTGGAGACTGGAGGATCACTGGGACTTGCTGGCGTCCAGTCTAGCCAAGCTGTAAGCACCGGGTTCAGGGAGAGAGACTCTGCCTCAAAGGAACAGGTGGAGATGGTAGAAGACACTTGACCTCTACACACCTGCATAGGGAATGTACCCACACACAAAGGTGTGTGTGTGCTCAGATATACATAAGTCAATTAAATTTTAAAAATAAGTGTTATATTCTGAAAGGGTGTTTTTTTGTATCTTTTTAAGACAAGAGTCTCCCTGTACCCCCAGCTGGCCTGAAACTCGCTATGTAGGCTAGGCTGGCCTCAATGTTACAGAAATCTGCCTGTCTCTGCCTTCTGAGTGCTGGAATTAAAGGCATGCACCACCATACCCAGCTCAAGAGTTTTATTATTTGAATTTGTTGTTTGTGTGGTGTGTGTGTGTGTGTGTGTGTGTGTGTGTGTGTGTGTGTTGTGGTTCATCATGACACCATGCGGTGCATATAGAGGTCAGACGCTAACTTTCTAGTGTCATTTCTCTCCTACCTTTACATGAGTTCTGGGGATCCAAATCAAGGTCCTCAGGCACCCTCTGTGCCCTCTGAGCCATCTCTACCTACTGAGCCATCTTGACAGTCCCCAAGTTTTATGACTTGATCAGCAGATATGGGCTGGGGGTGTCACTCAGTGGCCCAGTGCCTAACATGCATGAGGCCCTGGGTTTCATTCCACAGTGAGGTTAAAATGGAACAGGAACAGTAACAGACGCATCTTCAAAGACACAGCGTTTAAAACAGCAGTCCTGATCTCATCAATTTTTTTCCCCCCAATGCAGTTAACAAGCACAAGCCATGGCTCGAACCCACATACCACGGAATAGTTACTGAAAATGATTACACGGTGCTTCTCGATCCTCCCCTCATCGCCCTGGATAAGGATTCACCTCTGCGCTTTGCAGGTAGGATGGCCAGCTGTTCGCTGTTGGCAAATTTGGCCTGGATGGGAAGCTTCTCGTGCCTGCCTGGGTTACCGAACCCTTAAGCGAACATCTTCATAGCTGAAGGCTTGTGGCTCCGGGCACCACATCTTCTCCTTTCCATAGGAGAGGTAGCTGACGAAAATCTCTTCGGATAGTTGAAGAGGAAGATACTTGTCTTCCTTGCATCATTACGTGCTTTGCCTTGATGCACCTAGCTAGATAGAATCTAGAGCAGTGCTTCTTAGACTTCTGTGTGCACAGATGACATGAACACTTCTTCAGTGTGGACTTGATGTGGGGAGACCAGGGGGCTCTGGGCCCTGCAGTCTCAGTTCTTTTGAGGTGCTCAAGAGCCAGAGACTCCCAGCACCATAGGTCTGTATAGACTCTGTGTATCTGCATAGACTTAGGAAAGGTGAGCGTTCTTTGTGACGAGATAGTTTTGGCATAGATTTTCTTTCTCTTTTTAAAAATTTCGTATGATGTTATGTTATATAAGGGTCATGTTCACACAATTATACAAATGTACATTGCACTTTGAACTCATTTCCCATTTGTATTTTTTTAAAATATTTTATTATTTTTATTTTATGTGTATGAGTGTATTACCTGCACGTATATGAGTGCACCCGTGTCATGCAATGCCATGGAGGTCAGAAGAGGATATCTGAGTCCCCTGGAACTGGAATTAAGGACAGTTCATCGCCACTTTAGTCTTTTTGAGACAGGGCCTCCCTGTAGCCCCAGTTGGCCTGGAACTCAAAATGTAGACCAGGCTGGCCTTGAGCGCACAGAGATCTGCCTGCCTCTGGGATTAAAGGTGTGGGCCACCATACATAGCAACTTTTTATTCTGAGAAGAGGTTTTGCTACCCAGTAATCCAAACTGGCCTCAAATCTGTCATCCTCCTGCCTCAGCCTCCTGAGTGCTGAGATTGCAGGTGTGCACCTCGGCACCTGATTTAAAGAATGAATAAGGGTTCAAGTCCCAGCACCCACATGGCAGCTAGCAACAGTCTGTAACTCCAGTTCCAGGGGATCTGCGCCCTCTTCTGACCTCCATGGGCATTGTACAACATGGGTGCACCTACCTACATGCAGGTATAACATTCATACACATAAAATAAAAATAATAAATAAAATATATTTTTTAAAACCCATTAAAATATAGAGCTAGAGAAATGGCTTAGAAGTTAAGAGTACACACTTTTCTTCCAGAGAACGCCAGCTCAATTCCCAGCAACCAAATCAGGCAGCTCACAGCCACCTGTGACTCCAGCTCCTGGGGCATCCAACACCTCTGCTTCCAAGGGCACTTGTACTCAAGTGCACAGACACCCACACACTCACATATTACACATAGTTAAATAAGTTGCAAAAAATTGTTTTTCAATATAGCGCTAAATGTCACATGCATAAGAAGGAACTGTAACTACTAGAAAAATATGGTGCAAACCAGACATGGTGGCCTATGCCTTTAATTCCAGCACTTGGGAGGCAGAGGTAGGTGGATCTCTGTGAGCTCAAGGCCAGCCTGGTCTACATAGTGAGTTCCAGGCCAGCTGGGGCTACAGGGAGACCCTGTCTCAAAAAAACCAAAATAAAACAAAAGATTACACACACACACACACACACACACACACACACACACACGGTGTGTACATTAACACATATCTACTTGTCTTTTCTGACTCTGAGGCACACACAGATGAGCTGATGCAAGACCAGATCTGATTTGGAAAGTGTGGCTAAATGTCAACAATGCAGGAAAATTATCGTGATTTCATGATTAAAATATCCAAAGCTACAGATTTGTCTTAGTAAAGAAGTTACAATCTTTTTTTTTTTTTTTTTTCTTTTGGTCTTTTTGAGACAGGGTCTCCCTGTAGCCCCAGCTGACCTGGAACTCACTATGTAGACCAGGCTGGCCTCGAACTCACAGAGATCCGCCTGCCTCTGCCTCCCAAGTGCTGGAATTAAAGGCATGCGCCACCACGCCTGGCCAAAGTTACAATCTTTTAAAGTAACTCAAGTTAAACATTTATTCACTCTTTTTTTTTTTTTTGGCATGCATGAGTATATTGCCTGCAGGTGTTTAAGTGCACCTGTGTTGTCAGTGCCCTTGGAGGTCAGAAGAGGGTGTCAGATCCCCTGGAACTGGAGTTATGGATGGTTGTTAGCCACAGTGAGGTTATTGGGAATCAAATCCGGGTCCCTCTGTAAGAACAGCCAGTGCTCTTAACCACTGAGCCATCTCTCCAGCCCCTTTTAATGGGGTATTAATGGAGTTGCTTAGGGTATGTTTTTGAGTTGATTCATATACATTCTCTGCATTTTAAGAAGTGACTTGGAGCTGGGCGTGGTGGCACACACCTTTAGTCCCAGCATTCAGGAGGCAGAGGCAGGCGGATCTCTGTGAGTTCAAGGCCAGCCTGGTCTACATAGTGAGTTCAGGTCAGCTGGGACTACAGGGAGACCCTGTCTCAAAAAGACAAAAAAAAAGAGAAGTGACTTGGGAGCCAGGTATGGTAACATATGCCTTTAATCCCAGCACTTGGGAGGCAGGGGCAGGGGAATTTCTGTGAGAATGAGGCCAGTCTAGTCTATATAGGAAGACCCTGTCTTAAAACCAAACCAAACCAAACCAAACCAAACAAACAAACAAAAAAGTGGCTTCGGGACTGGAGAGATGGCTCGATGGTTAAGAGCAGTGGCTCCTCTTACAGAAGACCCAGATTTGGCTCCCAGCACCTATGGTGGTTAACAACTGTACATAACTCTGGTTCCAGGGCTCTGATGGCCTCTGGCCTCTGTGAGCACTGCACAACAAGGGTGTACTTATATACATGTAGACAAACAATCACATAAAATAAAAATAAATAAACAAGAAAAATGAAACCTAGCTGGAGAGATGGCTCAGTGGTTAAGAGCACTGGCTGCTCTTGTAGAGGACCTGAGTTCAGTTCCCAGCACCCATGGCGACTGTTTGTAACTCCAGTTCTAGGGGATTCAATGCCCTCTTCTGGCCTCTACAGGCACTACACACGTGGTAAACTTACATACATGCAAGCAAAACAGTCATTCACATACTCAAAAAAATAAAATTAGGGGCTGGAGAGATGGCTCAGCAGTTAAGAACACTGACTGTTCTTGCAGAAGACCCGGGTTCGTATCCCAGCACCCACATGGCAGCTAACAACTGCCCATAACTCCAGTCCCAGGGGATCCAACAGCCTCTTCTGTCCTCCACGGGCATTGCATGACATGGGTACACTTACTTACACGCAGGCAATATACGCATACACTTAAAATAAAAAATAATAAATAAAAATATTTTTTAAATTGTTAAAAAACATAAAATTAAAATAAACCTACAACTAACAACTTCATAAAAAATAAATAAAATAAAAAACCAGGACTGCCACCTCCTTCCCATTGCTCATTCAGGAGTTGAAGGGGAAGTCAGTTACCCCTCCCACCCAATCAGTGGACCCTAGCTGCATGTGGGGGAGGGGCTAAGGATATATAAGCCAAGAACGCCCGTAGGCCCCTCTCTCACCATTTTCTGCAGCTGTTGGGAAGCCACAGGATCTGTGTTTGAGTGTGGACTTTCCAGTGCAGCCATAAATGGCAGGGGGGGGCGCCCACTCCTCTGTAAATAAACCTCTACCCTATGCTCTGTTTAAAAATAAAAAAGAGCCAGGCGTGGTGCCACACGCCTTTAATCCCAGCACTCGGGAGGCAGAGGCAGGGGGATCTCTGTGAGTTCAAGCACAGCCTGGACTACATAGTGAGGTACAAGACAGCTGGGGATACAGGGAGACCCTGTCTCAAAAAGACCAAAAAAAAAAAAAAACATGAATTAAGTAATTTGATGATCATGAGATGCCTTATATTGTATGAGGGAGGAATACTGAGTAATATTGTGAGCAATGCTGCATGCTACTGATTTCTAAACCTATATTGTCTGAACTATATGCACTTACCACAATATTTTTTGTCTCTCCTTAAAGGGAAACCAAGTACACAGCTTTCATTGGTTCCTGACATTATATTTTGTAATAAGCTTTGTGCATTCTCCCATCGAAAACGTCATTGGCTGTAATCAGAAGATAAATCTGCCAGAAAGGAGATTAAAGAATTACCCAATTTCATGGGCTCAGGTAAGATATCATAAATAATATGTAATAGTATTTCATATTGACATCATTGGAAAGAGACAGCATAGAGAACTTTGTGTCTTTAGGCAGGCCCAAATAACGTATTTAAACTGAAACAGAATTTACTAAACTTTGTTCTCTGAAATGTGTAAATAAGTAATGATTTTGAATTTATACAGAAAACCCCTACAGTAAGATTACACTTATAAAGAATTAAAATTTTTTTCTGTATTTGTAAAACAAACAAAAAGCCTTCTTCTTAGCAAACAGGACAGTATAGTTATGGAGGGACTCAGAGAAAAGGACCAGTGTTTTACAACGCTACCAAACACTGAATCTCATATCTACATAAAGAGGGAACTCCAATTAAGTGTGTGATCAAATAAAAATGGAGATCATGAAAACTTCTCTTATTTATGAGAGATGTTTATTAATGCAAAAGAAAATCCTCTTCATCACTGTTTGTCAAACAAGCAGAGGACTAGTTGTCAAAAAACAAAAAGAAAAAAAATTGCATAAAATGAATCTGTCCAAGCCAGGCATGGTGGTGTATGCCTTTAGTCCCAGCACTCAGGAGACAGCGGGAAGAGGATCTTTGTGAGTTCAAGGCCAGCCTGGTCTATATAGAGAGTTCCAAGCCAGCTAGACACAGGGAGACCCTATCTCAAAAACACAAAGAAAAAAATTTGTGCAAAGAAATGAACATAATTACAAGAATTAAAGAGGAGGCAGAGAATAATTTAATTTTTAAAAGACATTGTCTCCCTCTATAACCTGTGCAGGCTTGGAATTTATTATATAGATAAATGTGACCTTGAAT